GACTTTTTTTTTTATCATGTTCATCTATATCTGGTGCCCATGTGGATCCTGACTCCATGTTTTCTGGGACCAGCTCAAAAGGTCTGCTGCCGATGGTCTCCCAACCCTGCCTACCTGGCTTGATTTTACCTACGAAGCGGGTTTTTGCCAAATACCTGCCACAGTGCAGTTACCTCTTTAATGGGCCCACCACTTGGTGACTGGGAAATTTCCTGGGCTCCCTCCTCCCGGCCACTTTTCCTGCCATATGGTGACTTGTGCAGCTTCAGATTTGTGTTCCCAGCTTCCAGTTTGTGTTCTTGGCTCACAAGGTCTGGGTTCCTTGATATTCTGGCTACCAAAAAAACTCTCTCTATTTAATTGATTTAATTGCTCTTAACTTCTCAAGCATATTTGTCAGTATTTAAGTAGGTGGCCACGTGGAACCAAGCAAGACTGTTCACACTGTCCTGTCTCTCCACAAGGCACCCACAACCCTGACACCTACTGGCCAATAGAGATTATTACACCTACAACAATTTACTGAAATCTCATAATGGAGGCAAGTTCATTTGATTAATAAAATCAATAAATTTGAAAGTTATATAATTGCAGACAATATCACCATCTGGAATTTAATAACCTTTATGCATATACAATGGATGGTATTCTTCAAAACTGATATGGTTTTTCTGATTCATCCATTTATTTGATACTGGAAAATAGCTTTGTCTTTCATATTATATCTTTAAAAACGGTTTAATAACAGAGCCAAGAATGAGGTACTTTTACATATGATACAGTCTTTACAGACTAATAATGAGCAGCTAGCTGACAGGATTTATACCATCAAAAATTAATTATAGCTGACTCCATCAAAGACCCCAGAAGGATACAATGTTACCTAAGTAAACAGGAAGGGCATTGTAAGGGCATTGTAAACACCTTCCAAAGTACTAGAAATGACAGAGACATCTTGCTGCCTGGACAAAGTTCTTTTGTAACACTGGTTAATAAAAAAAAAAGAAGAAAAAAAAAGCTGCTTTGGCCTATGGCAGGGGAAAATATAGCTAGGTGGGAAATCCAAACAGAGGGAGAAAGAAGGTGGAGTGGGAGTCCGGGCACATAGGCCTCAAGGCACGTGGCGATACACAGATTAATAAAAATGGATTAATTTAAATATGTAGAACTAGCCAGTAAGAAGCCTGAGCCATTCGCCAAACAGTTTGTAATAAATATTAAGCCTCAGAGTGGTTATTCCGGAACTGGTGGACGGGAGAGAGATCTCCAGTAACACTGGTCAAATATACCTGTTGCTTCTATTGTATCCGCACCCTGGGAGGGCCAAGTCCACCCTAATCTCTTACACTTGATTGCTCACACACCAGCCAGAATTACTCTTTCCAAACAAGCCTTAGCACACCCCTGCTTAGAAGCCTGCAGGGACTTCCTTACAGCTGGGACCCACAGCCCCATTTGCTCTGACCCCTGTCAGTCTCCCTCTTCCTCTGTTTTAGCCCTGCTCACTTCCAGTTCCTTGAAGCTATTTGCATGATCCTATCCCAGGGGGTTATTAAAGACACCCCAGTGCCTGGAGTGCTCCTCCTGGTATCCAGACTCAGCACTTTATCTGACAAGCATGGACTTAATGGGCACTTTCTCTACTGGCCTGTGTGAAACAACTCTCTCAGCCCCAGTTCTGTCCCCTTCATTCTTTTCTCCACAGCCCATAGGTTGGGAATGTCAGAGTAAACACTGCCCCCACTCCCAGGCATCCATTGACCCCCCTTTTCACTGTGTGATGTAATACCATTTTCTTTCCCAGTGCTCTTAAAATAATGAAAGCAGGATAGAGATGGGTGCTTTCAATCCCAGCACCCAAGCAGAGGCAGATATGAACCTCTGAGTTCCAGGACAGCCTGGGCTACACAGTGAAACCCTCCCTCAAAACAAAACGAAACACAAGACTTTATTATGTTATTTGTGTTTCCACACATGTGATTGCTTTCTAGCACATATGCAAGGTACATGTGTGATCAAAGTATGGCTTTCGGGAGTAAGTTCTTTCTTTCCATCACGTAAGTACCAGGGACAGATGATTCCATAGTCATTCACTATGAAGCAGCCCTCCTGGGTCAGCTCAAGCTACATCACCTTACCTACACCTGGCCACCACTTGTTACTGAATCTCTAAGATACCCCTTTGACCTATGTGATGCCAATTCTTAGGTTGTCAACTTGACTACATCTGGAATTACCTAAAACTCAAGTGGCTGGGTATACCACTGGGTATACAAGTGGCTGGGTGTGAGGGAAGTTTTTCTTAATTAAATCATTTAATATGTGAAGATACACCTTTTTTGTTTGCTTGCTTGTTTTTGCTTTTGTTTATCAAGACAGGGTTTCTCTGCGTAGCCCTGGCTTCCTGGAACTTACTCTGCAGACCAGTCTGACCTCCAACTCAGAGATACGCCTGCCTCTGCCTCCTGAGTGCTGGGATTAAAGGTGTGCACCACCACCGCCAGGTTGGGAAGATCCACTTTTAAGATGGCCACACTTCTGCTGGAAGCCTAGATAAAGGACATGGAAGCAGGACGCTCGCTATCTTTGCCTGCTTGGCATCACTCTCGCTGGCAGATTCATCCCTTCACTGACATTAGAGCCGACTTCTGAAGAATTCTGGGATACATGGAATACCAGCGGAGACATCCAACCTCATAGACTGAACAACTACTGGATTCTTGGTCCTGTTGTTAGACAGCCATTGTTGGTTTAGCTGGACCACAGCCTGTAAACCATTCTAATAATTCCCAGTTATTTATCTACCTTGATTCATTTTTAGGTTCTGTTCCTCCAGAGAACCCTGAATATATCAACCTGGATGCCTGGACCACTGATACCAGTAAAGTAGGTTTATTGTTAAAACAGATTCAAAGCATCCAGCTCTAAATTAGATCTGCAGATTTTCTGTCCACCTAGCTTTGCAAGTTTTCTTGCATTTGCCACAAGAGGGCGCACTATTGTAATCTCCTTGAATTGCACCCACAGTGGAAAGAGATGCACCTAAAGATTTGTTTGTTTCCCAATATGGCCTCAAACTCACTATAGCTCAGGATGACCTTAGATTTCTGACCCTTCTGCCTCAGTCTCCCGAATGCTGGGATGATACTCAAAGCACCATAAACAAGTCCTGCTTGCATTTCAAGAATTTAAATTGGAGGTAGAGGTAGGGATGGAGCTAGGGAGATGGCTCAACATTCAAGAGCCCTTGCTGTTCTAGCAGAGGCCCAAATGGAGTTCAGTTGTGCGCACTACATCAGGGCATTTACAACCAGATGCCTCTAACTCCAGGAGTCATGACTCCATTCTAGTCTCCATCGGCATACACACTCGTGCGCATTCACACCTAAATAAAAATTAATCTTATGCCAAACTGAGGAACCAAGAATGTTGTTCAAGGGAAGAATGCTTGCTTCATGTGAGAAAACTATTCTTTAGCTACTCCCACAATACACACACACACAATGTTAAACATATGACAATGTTAAAATTACCTGTCATAGATAAATAATTAAGACCTACAACTTTATCCCAATAATCATGAAATACAAATATTTTCTTAAAATGAGTGTGATCATCAGGGCTGAAGTTTAGTAGCTAAAGAGCACTTCCTACTCTTGTAATGGGCCTTGTTTGGTTTTCCGCACCCACTTCCAGTGACTCACAACCACCTGTAATTCCAGCTCTGGGTGATTAAAAGCCTTCTTCTTGCCTCTGTGGACAGTTGTACTCATTGTCCACAAACCCTCAGACACACACACACACACACACAGGATACACACAAATAAAAACAAAACAGATCTTTAAAAATAAAAAAGCAATGTCATTGATTTCCCAATATTACAGAAAAAAACTTTCAGACATTTGAATAGATCAAACTTTTATTTTGGTGGAAGGCTATAGTTTTTTGTTTTGTTTTGGCATTTAGGACTTATTTTATGTGTGTGGATGCTTTATTTGCATGTATATCTGTGCACTGTGTACATTTGGTGCCTGTAGAAGCCAGAAGAGAGCATTGAATCCTTGGAACTGGAGATAGAAACAGCTCTTAGCTTCCATGTAGATGTCAGCTGGCTGGAAGCTGAACCCAGGTCCTGGGCTAGAGCAACAAGTGCTCTTAACTGACAGCAGAGCCAATTCTCCAGCTCAGGAGGGGGCTATTGTTTTTAAGTATTGAAGAGATTAAAGGCATGCACCACCATGTCCTTGTGTGTTTTCATTTATTTCTGAAAAAAAAAAAAAAACGTTGGAAAAACGGGGCAGAGACCTGTTTTAGTATTCCTTTCCTAGGGCCTGTGTGTGCTGTGTACAAGACTAGCTCCCAGAGGCTTCACCTGCCTGAGAACTTCAACATCCACCAAGTGGGTAGCTTGGCAGGGAAAATCCAGGCCCTGCATGCCTCCCTGCAGCAGCTAGAGATCTACCTACCACCCCTCAAACACCTGTGCCGTGTGGCCATTCGGCTGTGCCTGCGCCCATGGCCTGTGGACACCCAGGTCAAAGCCCAAGCTGGAGAGAAATCCCCTGAGAGGTACATCAATCACTACATAGTAATTGAAACTGGGATGCATTGTAAACAGACTTTAGCTCACTAACTCCTAAGCAAGTAGGTCCCTCAGGCATTCCTTTCTTTGAGCAATTCCCCTCTGTCCTAAACCACAGAGAGGTAATTAAAAGAAACAAATCTCTGGAGAGTTGGATGCCCTGTAGCCAGGGCTAGCCCTAAGAAAGGGTTTATATTGTGTAGATGACCTAGAGGAGCTTCCAGCTCCCATACACCCTTCCCCAAATATCAAGTGACTTGTGGCACCTAATCTGATTTAGGTAATAGTACATACACTCACTGACAGAACTATCCAAGAATGTTATGAAGTGAGCCTACTTCTTTTCCTATCCTTGTGGAATAAAGGGGAAAACATAAGTCAGGCAAGCTGGAAAAAAGATAACTAGGTTAAACTTACATGTTAGGAAAAAAAAGTCTTATTTTCCAGCTTTGATCTGGTTGTCAGTGGGAATGGATTTGCCCAAGTGATGGCCCACAGAAAGGCCAAACTTATTCTTTTCCTGCTCCTCTTGAACCTCTTTTTTCAGTACAAATCCTGCCTGGAAGTTGAGGTCAAACATGCTGTTTGGAGGAAAGTAGAGTGGCTTCTCCTCCCAGATAGTCTCCAGGCGTTTCTTCCACCCTTCCAGGATCTGCCTCCGAGTATCTGATGGGGTGTGGTCAACGCCATAGGCCAGCTGTGGTTCCAAGACCTGGAAGCCACAGAAATGCAGGATGCCACTCTGCAAGAGACAGAACACAGAGTTAAGCCGCAGGAGCAGTCTGGCAGACTGTACTGTAAACAAGCATCCGAAGTTGGTCTGGGAGCTGGAGAGATGGCTCAGTGGTTAACGGGGCTGCCTGTTCTTCCAGGGGACCTGGGTTCAATTCTTAGCACCCACAGAGCAGCTCACAACTGTCTGTAACTCCAAGATCTGACACCCTCATACAGACATACATACAGGCAGAACATCAATGCACATAAAATAAAATAAATTATATTTTAAAAAAAAAAAAAGAAGAAGAAGTTGGCCTGGGGGCTGAGAACTGGCTCAGCCATTAAGATTTACTACTCTCTCAGAGAACCCAGTTTGTTTCTCAGCATCCATGTGGAGTGCCTCACAACCAATTCTGAGGGACTGGATGATCTTTCTTGACTTCTGTGGGTGCCTGCATAAATGTAGCATACACACAAAGAGCAATAAAGTAAATAAGTAGAAATCTTATTTAAAAGAAAAATAAACAAAGCTGCCTGGGAGTTGGAGAGGGTGCTTGCTGGTTAAGAGCACTGGCTGCTCTTCCTGAAGACCTGGATCGGGTTGCCAGTACCCACATGAGGGCAATACCTGTTCAGGGGACCCAATTTCCTTTTCTGACCTTGACTGACACTGTATACACGTGGTACAGAGATACGTGCAGGCAAAACTCAGAAAATAAAAAATTAAAGTTTTAAAATTTGTTTTTGGTTTTTGAGACAGGGTTTCTCTGTGTTGCCCCAACTGTCCTAGAACTCACTCTACAGAGCAGGCTGCCCTCGAACTCACAGAAATCCGCCTGCCTCTGCCTCCCGAGTGCTGGGATTAAAAGCATGCACCACCACTGTTTGGCTAAAGTTTTAAAAATCTTTTCGAGGGGTGATCTGGAGCTGGAGAGACGGCTCAAAGGTTAAGAGCACTGCCTGCTCTTCTAAAGGTCTTGAGTTCAATTCCCAGCAACCAGTGGCTCACAACCATCTGTAATGAGATCTGGTGCCCTCTTCTGGCCTGCAGGCAGACGTGCAGGCAGAACACTGTATAAATATTTAAAAAGAAAAAGAAAGAATGATCTGGGCTTGCCAATTAGAGAGTCCAGTCAGACCTGCAGTGCCCTGGGGAACTGCCACAGTTCCTCCTCTTACCTTCTGCCCTCCCTCCCTTTCTGTCACCTCATTTAGCCTCCTTGGTGGCGCTTTCCTTTGAATGAATAAAATCTTGAAACTGTGCCAACCTGGATCCTCTGCCAAAAGAGCCAGAAGTTCTATTACATTAGGGAGAGCGCTTGCTCCTTGGCAGTGGCTCGTGCCAGGGCATGTGGATGTGCACTTTTCTGCCACTCAACATGGTGAGCTTAGTCTTTACACCACACACCTCACTCACTGTCTTCTCCAAACCCCTTCCCTCTTCCAAGCCCACCTCCAGAACAAGCTGAATGAACTCAGTTCTTAACCTGGACTAGGGAGCCAGATGTGCTGCCCCATGCCTTAAACCCAACACCCAACAGGCTGAAGCAGGAGAACTGCCACAAGTTCAAGTCACCCTGGGCTTACATAATGATACGCCCCTTTTTAAGATTATTATTTTTATTTTATGTGCTTTGGGGGTTTGTGTGCATGCATATGTGTGAGGGTATCAGATCCCCTGGAAGTGGAGTTGCAGACAGTTGTGAACTGCTATGTGGGTACTGAGAATTGAACCCTGGTCCTCTGAAAGAGAGGTCATTACTCTTAACCGCTGAGCCATGTCTCCAGCCCACAACTCACCACACTGCACCATCACCGCCATCTAAAAAAAGGGGAGGGGGTGCTGGGAAGATGGCTCAGTGAGTAAAGGTACCAGCCTTGCAAGCCGGATGGAGTGAGGTAGAACCCAGAGCCCATGTAAAAATGTGAACCCAGTGGCATAAAACAGAATGTTCTGGGACTGCAAATACAATTCCAGGAAGTCCAAGGCTTTGACTCCACATGCTGAGAGCCAGGTGCACTTTGGTTACGAGAGACTGTTGGACCATGTACCCCAGCGGCCTGGCTCACAAGCTGCCGAAGAAAGCCCGGGTGCTGCTGCATCATTGCCAGGCTTTCCTCCTCACACCTTGAGTCAGTTTTCGGTTACTGCCTGGAGGTTTAGACTCCGAGGAACGCTCAGCTAACTAACTCCCCAGGAAGTTCGCCCACAACAAGGTACCTGAAGTGGCCAGAGGGTGATATTTATGTCCCCGTGGATACCCTGAAGAGAGAACATGGAGCCGGTACTCCCCGTTGTGAAGGAAAGCAAGGCCTTCTTATTCTGAAAGAGAAAACAAGTGTCACCCCCTCCTCTCCTGGGACCCAGTGAGTTAATGAACGGGGCCCCAGGGAGAGGATGAATCCGTCCATCCTACGGGTGCTATCATTTCAGCTCCTCTGCAGCTTCGGCCTGACTCTGCACGTGTTCCGACTGTGGCTGTGACTGGCATGTGGCTGTGGACAGCACAAATCACAACCTCACTTCAAACATTAGGAGACGGCCTGGCATGGTGGCACATGGCTTTAATCTCAGCACTCGGGAGCTACAGGCAGGAGGATCTGTGAGATTGAGGCCAGCCTGTTCCACAGAGCTATTTCCAGGACAGCCAGGGCAACACAAAGAAACCCTGTCTTTAATCCCAGCATTCAGGAAGCAGAGCCAGGTGAGTCTCTGTGGATTCCAGGCCAGGCTGGTCTGCAAAGTGAGACCCTGTGTCAGTTTTTTAAAATTTAAATAAAAAAAAAAGCCACAAGATATTTCTTGTCACTATTTATCTTCCAAATAACAAAGGTTTTTTGGGTTTTTGTTTGTTTGTTTTTTAGTTGTTTTATTTTTTTTCCAGGCAGGACCTCAAGTATCCCAGGCTGACCTAAAACTCTCCAAGTAGCTGGGGATGACCTTGAACTCCTGATCTTCCTGCCTCTACTTCCCAAATGGGATTTTAGGTGTCTGACACCACGTCAGCAAAATTTTCATTTTACTTTTCCTATGGAAAATCTCAACCATGAAGAGAAAAGCAGCACAGCGAGCGTCCACCAGACATCTTAAAGTCTGGTTCCTCCATCCTTCACCGCTCAGTAACCCCTCCACACTCACTTTTTCATTTTTTTCTGAAATACTTTAAAACACAGCCCAAGGACTGGTGAGGTAGCCTAGCTGGTGAAAGGGCTTGTCACCAAGAGCGACAACCCGAGTCCTAACCCCCAATCTGCAAGTTTACCTCCACATACACACCCAGGCACTGTGTGCCCCTCCCACATAAACAAACTAGGGGACTGGAGAGGTGGTTTGGGGGTTAAGAGCACTTGCTGCTGTCCAGTCAACCCAGGTTCAATTCCCAACACCCACATGGTGGCTCACAACTGTCTGTAACTCCAGTTCCAGGGGATTTGATGCCCTTTTCTGGACTCCTTGGGTGCTGCATACATGTGGGACACAGACATTCAAGCAGGATATATATATGTATGAATATATACAGGATATATATATATATATATATATGAAATGATAAATAAATAAATAAAATTCAAAACATGGTTTCTTTTGATTTATAAGAGCTGTCCAATATTCCCTGGTCTTAGAGTCCAGCTGTGCTCTCAGGGCAGTGTCTACCCAGGAAATGCCCAATGGTCCACCTACCTTAAAAGGACCTTTGTCATACATGTTGTCAAGTGTGAAGGCGAATTCTGCCACAAGCACTCGCTCAAACCAGCCTTTCAGAATGGCGGGCACTCCAAACCAATACATGGGGAACTGCAGGACAGAAGATACCCAAGGTCAGCTCTAGGCACTACCCTGCCGTCCCTTCCTCCCCTAGTCAGGAAGATTTTGAGTGCTGAGCAACTGTCCACAGTGCCACTGTAGAGCACCTCCACCCTTGTGATTCCCTCTGGCAAAGTTAACACATTTAGCAAAACAGGCATAACCAGGGGAGGCGCCTTGCTTTCTTAGTATGAACTACTTGGTGAAGTCAGACTGCAGGATTGCTGAATGCTAAGAGTTTGAGGCCAACCAGGGTAGCATAACACACACACACACAGAGAGAGAGAGAGAGAGAGAGAGAGAGAGAGAGAACGCTCCCTCACAAACACACACAGACTCACACACACCGACACACACACACTAAAACTGGATGTGGTAACAAACATCTGCTATCCTACAACTCAGGAGGCTAAGGCAAGATACTGAGGATTTAGGGCCAGCATGGGCTACATACCTAGACCATCTCAAAACAGTCAGAAAAGAAGAAATATAACAGGGCATGGTGGCAAACAGACACAATCTCAGCAACTCAGGAGGCTGAGGCTGAAAGATTGTGAGTTCAAGGCCAGGCCAGGCAGCATAGTGGTACTCAGAAATAGTCCCAGCACTCAGGAGGCAGAGGCATGTTGATCTCTGTGAGTTTGAGGCCCGTCTGGTCTATATATCGGGTTCTAGGTTAGCCACGACTATATAAGTGAAACCCAGTCTCAAAAAATAAAGTAAAATAAAAATAACACAACAACCAAAAAATCAAAATAAAAGAAACACAGGGCTAGAGAGAGAGTTTGCATGTTAACAGCACATTCTTTGCCAGGCAGTGGTGGCACACACCTTCAATTCCAGCACTCAAGAGGCAGAGGCAGGTAGAGCTCTGTGAGTTCAAAGCCAGCCTAGTCTACAGAGTGAGTTTTAGGACAGCCAGAGGTACACAGAGAAACTCTGCCTTAGGAAATTAAAAAATTTTTTTAAAAAAAGTGCATACTTCTCTTCCAGATGAACCAGACTTAGTTCCAGCACCCACATTGTTAAGTGCTGGCTAAGAAATCTAGCTCCACGGGATCCAACACCCCCTTCTGGTCTCCACAAGTACCTACACCTACATACACATACTCACTCACAGATACACAGCCTGCATAATTTCAAAAAATTATTTTCCTGATATGGTGAAACACACCTTTGAAACAAGCTCTCTGTGGGTTCTACAACAGCTTGTACAACAGCTTGTTCAACATAATGACTCAAAGCCAGCCAGGGATACCAGAGAGAACTTGTCTCGAAACAAACAAAATCTAAAGGAAAATATACGGTAGTGCCTAACTTAATAGAAAAGAGAAAATTCTGTCCTTGATCCTCTCTCTTTTTTTCCTCCTAAAAGCTACAGCCAATGGCTGGTTATGAATAAAGTCACATGCAAATAAGATCCGTTTCCATGGAATCCAACTGGTACCAAAGTTCAAGTAGCAAGGACTGCAGGTGCCTTTGCCTTCGCAAGCAATGATAGATCTTTCCCAAGCGCTTGTGTTAGCAGACGTCCTTCCAAGACGCGCTTCCATTGTGCACACAGATCTACAATCCCATCATCTAGAACAAACAACCTTACTCAGAATATAGACTAAGTCCACTGGTCACTGTGACTAAGGTGTATCGGGGCCCCATGAGAAAGTCTTATCTGGGGTAATGTTCAGAGGCAGAGCACATGTCTTGTAAACTAGTCTGAGGCTCTGTCATCCATCCCCATAACCCAAAACTGCATATTATCTTCCCTCTGGTCCCAATGAAAGCTAAGGAGAATCTGCTCAAGTCTTTATTCTCCTCAAAACATGGTTCAAAGCTCATGAACACAGTCAGGAAGAAAGCCAGGATAGAGAAAGAATTTGTGGGGCTTAGAGACATGGCTCAGTTCATAAAGTGCTGGTCTCACAAGAATGAGTGCCTGAATTCACTTCCCAAGCACCCCTGCGAAAAGCTGGGTGTGGTCTCAACATGCTTCTAAACCCAGTAACTGCAGCTGCTGGGATGCTGCACATGCGTAGACGTCACTGTTACTCTCAAACAGTCTGGGATACAAAAGGAGCAGAAGTACACATTTCAGAGAGCCCACAGGGAGAGTCCACTAACTAGGCACACCCGGGACTTCTGTGTCTTCCTCGGGACCGTGTTCCTACATGAAAGTATAATTAACCCCAGTCTGGTCAGCAGATAAAGTCACAGCCACCAAGCTTGATGACTTGAATTTGATCCCCAGGACTGCATTTGTGGAAGGAGAAAACCAACTGCTAATAGTTGCCCTCCTGGAGCAAAGGGCAAGTGTGCATGCATGCGCACGCACACATCGTAATTTAAATAAGTACACAAAGCGCAGAAAGCTAAGCCGGGTACTATTTGTGAACCTACACAGTGCCACCCTCTGACTGACATCATTTATTCAGAGAGAACGCACAGAGTGACAGGATCTAGGGGAATAAGGACAAAGAATCCAGACATCGGTTCCTTATGATTTCTGCCCTAGCCATACCTGAAATATCACGAGGTCTGCAGCTTCCAGCTTTTTCTGTTCAGCCACGATGTCTGGGCTCAGGCGGCCTTCCTTATAGGCTAGAGTTGTCTCCGGAGCATACTTAAAGTTTTCGGGGTCCTTCGGCTTACCTGCCGGAAGGAAAGAGAGGCTGAGGCTGGGCCACAGGGTCCACTGTCAAGGGAGAGAGACAGTTCTTACCTATGATGTCCTTTCTGGAAGCGATGGGGTTAAAGTTCATAGCATAGAGGTCGGATTCAGCTACCTCCCAACCTTGCTTCTTCAGAGCCTCTACGGCAGCCTCCTTCATGGCATAGTTAAATGACGTCCTCTCCTCATGGGCCAATACAACCAGGGCTCTTCTCACTGTGTAGATACAACACAGTGAGATGTGGAAGGGAGATTCAAACAGGTTGAATGAGTCTTTCATCTAAAATGCTTGAACCAGACATGTTTCCACCTTAGTTTTTTAGATCAGGATATAGTGGCTAAGATTATCAATTAAACAGCTCTAATGATGAGATGGTTCAGCAGGTGAGGGTGTTTACTGTCACATCTGATGACCCTAAGGCCAATCCCCAGGACCCATAGGGTGGAAGGAGAGAACTGGCCTCTGAAGTTATCTTCATATGGACTATGTACTCCATATGGACCATGTACACACACACATACACACATGCATGCATGCTCCCAATAAATGTAACTTATTCATTTTTAAAAATCTGAAGTTCACAGTCAGGCAGTGTTGGTGGACACCTTTAATCCCAGCACTCAGGAGGCAGAGTCAGGTGGATCTCTATGAGTTTGAGGCCAACCTGGTCTGCAGAGCTAGTTCTAAGACATCTAAGACAGTTAGATATTAAAACCCTGTCTGTCTATATACATATATATATATATATGTAAATTTATTTGGTTCACACCACTTGAACCACAGGTGAGCCATGCGGCCGCTCTCCCTACAGCCCACTGTTAGTGGAAAACAAATGCCCTGCACCGTCCAGTCACTCTCAGACTGAGTTACTGAGAACACAGAAAACAAGTTCTATCAGCCATTTCTGTAAATTCACCATCTGGGAAGCTGAGGCAGGAGAACTGCCACAAGTTCCAGGAAAGCCTGGGTCTTACAATGTAAGACCCTGTTTCAAAAATAATATTCAAATGTTCCTACTTCTTCCTCGATAACCTTCATCTTGTGTATATACATAAATACACAATGTTCTGTAAGATGGTATGCTTTTTTTTTCTTAATTTTTGAGATGAGTCTCATAACCCAGACTGGCATTGAACTTAATACATAGCTGAATTTGAATTTCGGATTCGTCTATCTCTCCCTTGTAAATGCTGGCAATTGTGGGTGTGCGCTAGCAGGCATTGCTGTAAGACTAGAAAATAGAAAAATTATTTATTTAGTTTTGGGGGGTTGTTTGTTTGTTTTTTGAGACAGGGTTTGTCTGTGTAACCCTGGCTGTCCTGGAACTCGCTCTGTAGACCAGGCTGGTCTAGAACTCACAGAGATCTGTCTGCCTCTGCCACCTGAGTGCTGGGATTAAAGGCCTGCGCCACCACCTCCTGGCTGATTCATATTTTGAAAACTTATGTGCTGGGTAGTTTTTGCCAACTTGACACGAGCTAGATCACCCAGGAGGAGGAAACTTCAGATACTGAAAAAGCTCCTCTATCAGATTGGCCTGGGGATGTGTTTATGGGACATTTTCTTCATTAATGATAGGTTTAGGAGCACCCAGGCTACTGTGGGTGGTACCACCCCTTTGGAAGCAGTCCAGGGTTGTGTTAGAAAGCAGGCCCAGCAATCCTATAAATAGCATTCCTCCAGGGCCTCTGCTTCAGCTCCTGCCCTGCCCTCCCTCAGCGATGGACTGTTAGCGGGAACTGAGAGTGGAAATTTACACTCTCCTCCCCATGTGCTTTCTCACAGCAAGAGAAAAAGAAACTAGGACTGAAACTGGCAGCAGAGTGGGCTCGTTGCTGTGATGGACCTCACAGCGTTGTTTTGAGGACTGTGGAAGGATTTTGGAGCTTTGGGCTAGAAGTGCTCAGAATATAATGAACCTTTGTGGGAGCTTGGAAGATAAAACTGCCCAGCTCAGTGCAGATGGAGGCCTGGCTTGTGACGTTTCAGAGGGAAGTTTGAGAGTTCTCAAAGACTCTAGAAGGGGTGTTTTGGTGGCTTCTGATCAGCTGAAGAACTGGCTGTGATTGACAGGGGTCCAGCATCACTGAAGTGAACCCTTTGCTTTACCGGGCCATCTAACGCTGGTCAGCTGCAGCTGAAAAATCAGCTGCGGTTAAAAGGATTAACAACATTGAAACGAAATCTTCAGGGTAGCATGTGGTCCTAGTACAGGGGAGCAAGACCGCACCTCAAGCCAGCAGCTCGACTTGCTACTGCAGTAGCGTCACCCAGGTGGGATTGGTTTTGAAGGCATGCAGGAGTCACGGAGAGGAGCTGAGGCCTGGCACTGTGAGGGACCAGGGGAGGCCATTGGTGAGGTTGCAGCCTCCGTTACAGTGGAGATCCCAAGATATCAGAGACACGAGGACTGTGGGATGACCATCAAGGATGCAGCAGCTGTGGAGCAGAGCTGTCCTGAGCCAGGAGACAAGTACATGAACTGCGGGTGGTCCAGCTGGAGAGGCATGACTACCAAACTCTCTGGAGTCCCAGATTTCAGAAACAAAGCCGTTTACACTGCTGGATGTTTTGCCTTGGTCTGATTGTAGCTGTGCCCTGATGTTTTTCCTCTCACATAAAACCTGGGACACATGAGGCCCTGTCTCTAAATAGGCCAACTCTGTTACGGAAGCAGCATTGAAGGGGCAATGCTCAAACAGCCCTCGAGTAAAGATGGGCTTCAGAGTAATCTGCATCTCTGGCTAGGAACCAAAACTCCGCTTCCAGAGACTAGTCAAGGCTCATCCGGGACCCTAATCACTTCACTTTTCCTCTTTGAGCGAGGAAGAAAACTCACAGCAAGCCCCTGCATACTCCTGGGGATGAATATGGCTGGAGTTGGCGCCGCACTCACCTGCCATGGCTCCTAAAGTGGAGGAAAGATTGTGTAGTACCAGGTGCTGACTGGCCGAGCAGCTGGTTGCCGGGACGACTCTGCGGAGAGATCTGTCGGGCTGAGCACTTGTTGGCTTTATATCCTGCCTAACCGGCCCTGCCCACCGGTGACAGCCAGCCAGCGAAGGCGGGGCTGGACTCTTGAGCTGCGGAGGATACCAAGTTACTGGGTGGGAGAAGCAGTTTAGGGCTGGAATAGGACTCCTGCTTATGGAAGTCTAAAGGATTCCCTGAAAGCCAGGGAGTGAGAGGGGATTTGAGGATATGGGTGCATATGGGTAAATTCAACTGCCCTCTGCCGGAGACCTCCTGGACACAAAATAAAAATTTTCAACAGAAATTACCCGTGCTTTGTTGGACTTGCCCACATATCCGGCCTGTGTGGATTATTAACCTTTACTCAGCCCCGAGAAGTAACCTTTGCCTACAAAGGGAAGGGTGGGACTGACAAAATCTTGGCTCAGATTGTGCTGAGTCACTGTGAATCTAGCTAGACTGAGCGCCCGGAGACTTACACAAAGATTTACATCAGAGCATAGAACAAAAAGGTTTTAAATCTCCATAAATAAAGATTATAGTTGTGGGGCATGTAGCACGTGCCTTTAATCCCAGTAGATAGTAGTCAGAGGCAGGCAGATCTCTGTGAGTTCAAGACCAACTCGGTCTATATGGTGAGTTGCAGGACAATCAAGGCTACACAGTGAGACCCTGTCTCCAAAACGAAACTGTTAGAAATATTTCCTAACACGAGCTCCCTGCCAACGCAAAAATTCCCAATCAAGCCAAATCAAAACAAGCCAAATTAAGAAATATCCAGGTTTAATGGGAGATCTGCGCTCTCGGGTGGCCCTGAGGGGGAACCGGGACGTTGCAGGAACGCGACTCCCGTGAGGAAGAAAGGGAGACCATGTGTTCCTCTTTTGGGGGATCACTTAAATACCCTGGAAAGTGGTCCTGACCCCACCCCCAGGGAGGGATGAGGACCTGGCCTGCTGGGACTTGGAGTCCAGACCAGGCCTGGGGGCAAGGATAGATGCGAGGGGCAGGGGCCTATGCTCCCAATTTGACATTCCATACTCTTTGGATATAGGGGTGACAGAAAATTAGAATGGTAATTATGACAAACACTTAGGCTCTCTTTGGGAACAAAGGGCATAGACTCAAATCTGGCTACTTCCTGCGGGCACGGGGCAGCGTGGGGAAGAGGAGGGCTAGGTTTCCACGTTTAGCAAGAGGTGTAGCTGGAAAGGCATCCCATGAACTGTCATCCTGAAGAAGGTAGGCAGCTGTTCCTTGGGGGAGATGAGAAGGCAGGTGTCTGGGGAAAAAAAATGTTATTGCTAAAGATGAGTGTATCAGAATGACGAACAGGTAGGCCCTTCAATGTGGCATCCTGGAAAACCGGAGGGTGGAAGGTCCTGTCTGCTGAACAGACCAAGTGTCTTGAGTAGGTGCCCGCTTGAGCCTGGAGAGATGGTACCAGCATGGGTGTCCCAAGAGCTTGGCAGCCAAGGGGGTGGTGAGGATTACTGTGTGAGGTCCTGTCCATCGAGGTTCAAAAGACCTAGACCTAGGAGTTAACTGTTTGAGGAGTACTCTGTCTCCTGGGGAGAGCAGGGCAGGTTTAGGGATATTAGGGTCCACTGGTGTGGTGGCAGGGAGACAATTGTCAGCATGTGAACAGAGAAGGGACCTTAAAAGGGAGAGGTAGGGTAGTAAGGAGTTTGAAGTGGGATGTGATGGTTAAGGAGAAAGGGCTTGCTATAAAGCAACTCAAAAGGGCTCAGGCCCGTAGGGGAACGTTGGGTGGCTGGCCCTGAGACGAGTCTGGGCAATGGGGAGAAGGGAGGGCCAAGATAATCTGAGTTCAATGGAGAGCTTGCTTAGTTGTTGTTTGATGAGTCCCATTGTCCAGGAGATGTTGAGAGCTTCTGACACAAGCTCCATGACCCTGAGCCATCACACCTGCTGTTTCCCTGGAGACCGGAAATGCTTCTATCCATCCAGTAAAAGTGTTGTCCACGAAGCTGGTGTATGTGGAGAGCTCCTTGTAGGTTGGCCTGGGCACACGTCTGGCAGGAGGAGTGAACCTGTAAAATAGAATCTTGGAGATGGGTGGGGTTAAAAGGTGCTCCAAGAAGCAGAACAAAGCTTTGGGGAAGCGGCTAAGGATATCTCCACCCAATAAATGTTCTGGGCAAGCCGGTATCGCTAAGAATGAGAGAAAAAAAAAAAAAAGTCCTGCAAGATGGTGGGGCAGTGGCAAAGTTTTAAGTAGGGAGGAACAGGTCCCGTCTACCCCCATAGCTGAAATTGGTGCGGGGAAACTTAAGGCCCAAGTGAGAATAAAAGTAATGGACTTACCCGCCACTTGTTGTATGACCCTAGGCTAGGAGAGGGTTATGGGATATACCAAATCTGGGCAGCGTCAATCTTCCACAAGGCTGAGACGTTTGAAGGCTGGCACAGTTTCACTTGCTGATGGTGATGTGGCCGGACCTCCGTGGCTTGGCATAGAGGACAAGCCCACACGGAGGCATTGTGATTTCCACTGTCCAGGTTGCTAGTAGATAGGGCACAACCTCAGAGCAGGTGTAGTGCAATATCGTGCTATGTGACCATTTAGGCCACACTTGATAAAGCCCTGTGGTTGGCTTCCCTTGTCCCCCTTCCTGTGACCTTAGGGCAGCTATTAAGGCCTGGGCCTGTAGATTGTTGTAGCTTTCTCTGTCAGGAAGACTCAGCTGATTCCTCACGGGCATTAAAAACTTTAAAGGCCATTTTCACCAATTCCTGTATAGGAGTTTGGGGACCATCCTCAACCTCTTTTTTTTTTTTAACTCTTTCCTAATATCTGGTACTGACTGAGGAAGCAGAATGATAGTAGAAAAGGAACCTAACAGCTTTTCTACCTGAGAGAGAAAAGGGAGCATGGGAGGGGCTACCCAGTGTACAGAGGAGGTCCAGGAGTGGAGCAGTGAGGTAGGAGGGGGAGGGGAAGGTGGAAGTTGACCTTGAACCTCTGAATTGGGAAAGGGAAGGGAAAGAATGTTGCTCCTAAGGAGCGGGGTTGGGAAGTGTGGGCTTGAGGGGGTGGGGGAGGGGCCAGTGCCTCTAGTGCTGTGAGACACTGGCTACTAAGGGGAGGGAGGGTGAGAGTGCAGAGACCAAAAACCATGGACATATATATGTAAGCTCCGTTCATTTGTATCAGACAGGCTCAGTTTTTAAAAGATTTTTGTAAGAGGCTTACAAGGGCAACAACAGACCTGACTTTGAACTGTAAGTGCCCATTTTAGAGTCTATGTCCAACCACATGGCCTAAGTCCATTTTAGAGCATCCTCCAAAATGGCTCTTAGATCCAAAAAGGGGCACGGAGATTGAATGTCCACCGTCCCAGGACAAACAGATCTCTGCCTCAGCCAAGGCCGATCCCACGGAATTGACCACAACCTGGGACTCGAATTACCGGCGTGAGCTCACGACTTCAGCAGGAATCCGAAAACGACAAAAATAAGTACAAATGGGTCCCCCCAAACCCTATAGCATAGACAAGAAAGGGGACTCACCAAGACGCAGCCGCTGTAGCCCAGAAGCCGATTTGAAGCATGGCATAGAGAGCTCGAACTGTAGACTAGGGGCCTTTCAACACATGACCTGCCACATGGAAAGGGCCTGCCCTAGCTCAGCAGAACCTCCACTATGTTAGGAATATTTCCTAACACAAGCTCCTGTGGGACCCTTACCCCTTATTCTCAAAGGGGCAAGAAGAAATTTTCTAGCAGAATGTTTTCCCAGGAAGATAGTGGACTTCCCCTCTCCCACCCAGGATATTCTGAGCACAAGACCACTTAGCTCAGCCCAGCCAGCCACCTGGTACAGGCTGATAAAGATGGCCTAACTCAAGAACAATGGCCTCTCTAAAAACAAGAAAAAAAGCTGACTTAACAGAATGTGAGGGAGCAAAAGTCCTTGTACCCATGCCAAAGCATCTTCAAAGATTCTCTTTGTAGCTATGCCTTTAAAAGCTTACCCCACAGAGGAGATACAACTCCTCTCTACCTTGTTGTAACGGGGATGGAGAAGAGTTCCAAACATGTTTGTATTATGCTGATTAAACCTTGCTTATTACAGTCTGGGCCTCTCTGGTGGTCTCTCTCTGGGGGTCGTGATCTGGGCACAACAGCTCCCTGCCAATGCAAAAATTCCCAATCAAGCCAAATCAAAACAAGCCAAATTAAGGAATAGCCAGGTTTAATGGGAGATCTGCGCTCTCGGATGGCCCCGAGAGGGAACCGGGGAAGCCACAGGAACGCATCCCCCCCCCAAGGAAAAAAGGGAGACCACGTGTTCCTCTTTTGGGGGATCACTTAAATACGGAGTCCAGACCAGGCCTGGGGGCAGGGATAGATGCGAGGGGCAGGGGCCTATGCTCCCAACTTGACAAAAACAAAACAAATAAACAAAAAACCAAAATGGCAAAGTCATCCTACAGAACAGAAAGAAGATGGACTGTCAGGAAGTCAAGTACAGGGGCTGGAGAGAGGGCTCTGCTGTTAAGTGAATGGGTTGCCCACAGAGGACCTTTGGTTTCCAGCATCTCATGGGGTTGCCCACAGAGGACACTTTGGGTCCCAGCATCTCATGGGGCTGCCCACAAAGGACCCTTTGGTTCCCAGAATCTCATGGGGTTTCCCACCACCTTTTGTAACTCAGCTCCAGGGGACCCAGAATCTTCATCTGACCACAGTCAGAGAGGTAGGATCTGTTAGGTCTTAAACCTTGTACCTAACAGATCGGACTCCTGACTACTGAGGTTCCTATTTAACAAATCACCTCAAGCAGTTCTTCCCTATATAATCCAGACATTTGGGCTATACCTGTCCTTTTTACCCTCCTGATCTCTTGGTCTCACCACACCTAGGAGCAGTCATGTCTTCTTTTCTATTTTCATTCTGGATCTGGAGTTGCAATCATCCCCGGTGCTGAGGGCAGGCTGTGCTCTACTCTAAGTCCCTCCGTAGTATATAAAACAGTGGTTTGTCAGTCCGTGCCCTGCCTCATAGACTCCATTTTACAAGGACCTA